AATCCTAGGAGACGCTACAGCAATGGTGCAGATGTGGCCTCGTACGTGGCAGTCTGTGGGGGGAGGCTATGCCACAGCAGGATGAGGGTGACTCTGAAATAAACCTGCTGGACACTGGCAGTGGTCTCTGGATGCTCATGTCAGGTGCAGACCTCCTGGGTATGAATGCCAGCTGGTGCCGTCTAAAGTGGGGCTCTGAGGATGGCTCTTGGCTGTGACCAAGTGGGGGAACTAGGATGGAGAATTCCTACTGCAAGCATGTGAGCAATTCCGACTCCTAGTGACCTTATTTATGTGAGTAGACAGCCTCATCTTCCTCCCGTGGATGCAAGTGAGCATTTATTATAAAATATACTTAGGTTGGCAACATTGCCAGGCACAAGCAAATGTCCTTTGCCCAAGCAACAAATATATAAGTGTCCTGTCGCAAGTCCATCAGGATGTCCTAAGTATGGATGTGGCATCTTGTGGCGAGTCCACAGGGGTGAGGCATGATCTGTCAAGTCACTCTGGAGATTTCACCAATGAGAAAATTCTTCTGGGCACATCCTGGGGACAATCCAGAGGAAGCAGTGTAGACCCTCCCGGAGTTCTGGTGGACACCTGGCAACCACCTCTATCCAACAGGACCTGCCCAAGCCCTAAGCCAGAAAGTCCATGAGCTTGGGTGTGGGGCCGCCTTCTCAGGCCCACACTAAAACTGCTTGTAACTTTTCTGAAAGTAGGGGCACTCTGGGGAATAGCTGGAAGATACCAAAACCAAACTGTTGTTGTTGTCAGGTGCCATCGAGTCGGAACCGACTCATAGCGAACCCATGCACAGCAGAACGAAACAATGTCCGATCCTGGGCCAACCTCACTACCGCCACCACACTTGATGCCATCAATGATGTCACCTGGCTGATCCATCTCGTTGGGGGTCTTCCTCTTTTTCTCTGACCCTCCACCTTACCCAGCATGACATCCTTCTCCAGCAACTGTTCTCTCTGGACAATGTGTCCAAAGTATGAGAGACGAAGCCTAGCCATCTTGGCCTCCAAGGAGCACTCCGGTTGCACTTCTTCCAAAACAGATCTATTGGTTCTTTTGGCAGTCCATGGCACTTACAGTATTCTCCTCCAACACAACTCAAAGGCATCAATTCTTCTCCGATCTTCCTTATTCACTGTCCAGCTTTCGCATCCATATGAGGTTATTGAAAATACCATGACTTGGGTCAGGCACACCTTAGTCCTCAAGCTGACATCTCTGCTCTTCAATACTTTAAAAAGTTCCTGTGCAGCAGATTTGCCCAATGCAATATGTCGTCTGATCTCTTGACTGCTGCTTCTGCGAGTGTTGATAGTTGATCCAAGAAGAATGAAGTCCTTGACAACCTCAATCTCTTCTCCATTGATAACTGCCTTCAAGTCGATTCTGACTCAAAATAGAATGGAACTGCTCCCTAGGGTTTTTGAGGTTGTCAATCTTTTTTTTAAAGTTGACAGCCTGATCTTTATCCCTCGTGCAGAATGGCTGGTGGGATTGAACTACCAACCTTACAGTTATCAGTCCAGTGCTTAACCCACTGTGCCACCAGGGCTCCTTGAGGAGGCTTCCCAATTGATTTCTATAGACCCCAAGATCAACTAGCCCATGCCATTGGTCCCTCTGCATGTCAGCTATTCTAAGTACTGCTTTGACACTAATGTTCAGTCCAGTAGCAACACCCATCTTGTCTTTGGTGATTAAATGCTACTCCTTGGCCCCTGCTTCCAGGGGTGCCATTCTCCTGATTGCATTTAGGGATCCCAGTTCAGTGGAAGTAGTTGTCCTGTCATTCCTGGCCTCTGGAGAAGTGACCACAGCATTTGTCAAAGATGCTGGGACGCCACATGAGGGAGCCTGAATAAAGCTATTTTGAGACCAACCCCCTTAACTCTCTTATATCTCTATTTTCCTTACGTTTCAATTTCCCATTTCCATCACAGATAGCCCCTCTTAAATTCCACCCCCAGGCAAGACCTCACAAAAGCCCATTTCCGCAACAACTAGCTCCTCCTGAACTCCACTCTCTGGCAAGACCCTCATTAAAACCCTCAGCCTGTGCAGGAGTGCTTCTGACCTTGGTCAGCAAGCTTCTCCCAGGTTTGTCTTGAATAAATTTGTCTTTGCTGTTGAGTTGTGCTCTCCATCTTGTTTCTCCATTCACTCATAAATGTATTACTCATAGTTGTGGAGTCCTGGGGTGGCGCTGTGGAGTGCAAGGTTGGTTTGAACCACAAGGTTGGCAGTTCAAACTCACCAGCCGCTCCTCAGAAACCTTATACAGGGTCGCTGAGCTGGAACTGACTTGACAACACTTACCAACAACATAATTGTGGTATCTTCAGCAACCTCCCATGGAGAATGATAAACCTACACTACCATTCCAACCTTCTTCAGCCTCGGGGCACCTTCTTCTATGGTGTATTCTGGCATCTCACTAAGCCACTTTGGGGTCCACGCTTCAGCCAACCAACCAACCCAACTGTTAAAGCCCTGTCTAACTTCACAAGCTAGAGTCCAAAATCTCTCCTTATGTCAATACATTTGGTCTGATTCAACTTTATGTTTCTTCTACCTTGGTCCCACTTCATGAATTCATTCTTATGCATGTTCTTGGATCTCCAACTGCATAAACTAGGAAATCATGCAGTTCTTTTGAAGGGTCACATAGTGTACCTCCTCTTTGGGGCCCACAAAGATTTGAGTCGAGAAGCAGGTAGGGATTGTGGGAATGAGTGTCTTTTTTTCAAAATTATTATAATCCTGTTTATTGTATTTGGGTAACCTTTCTTTTTCTTCTTTCTGGGTAGGGACTTTATGATCTTTCTTTTACTTTTTACTATTTCCTGAAGTGAGTATGGATTCTATGATCTTTTCTTTTACTTTTTGCTACTTCCTGAAATAAGTAGGGACTGTAAGAGCTTTCTTTTATTTTTTTTTTTTTACTACTTGAAGTGAGTAGTAAGAATGAACATCTTAGAAATTTGAATTAGTCAACTGCGGTCAAAGCCTGAGCCAATGGGGTGAGACACAGCCTTAAGACTTGTGTCAGGGATAAAAACCCAAGTGGACTGCCTGCACGGTGTGCTCGCTAGCCTGTTCCTGTATGTATGGCTATGCACATGCACCCTTCTGCAGAAGTAAATTTTACTTGCCAAGGTAATTTAGTCTCACCGAGAGTCTTTTTGTGCAACACTGGGATTCATTTCTAACAGGGTGAGTCTGGTGGAGATTGAGGAGGGAGGCCAGGTTCTCCCAGAAAATGAACTGCTGTAGGTTAAAGGGTACGTCTACTGGTAAGGAAGATTGGCAGCATTTAGAGGCTCAAGGCTCCTAGCTTCATCAGGACCTGCCCAAAGGCCCCCATACAACTTTCTGATCAAGTCTTCACCTTCAAGAGAAGGTGCTCTGTAAGGTTGGGAAATCAGCTGTGCTGTAATCTGGCTGGATGAGACCTGGGTGGGCACTGCCTGGTTTAGTTGCTGATTCCCATCTTAGGAATGTCACCGCTCCACAGTGTTGCTGTGGAACATGGATGCCAGTTTGTGATTGGTGCCCTTGCATTATGCGTAATGCTTGTTGCCCAGAACTCATGCTGGGCACGATTCCCTGCCAGTCTTTTCACTGTCATGGTTGGTTTTGTGTCAATTTGGCTACAATTCCCTGTTGTTTGACCAAACACTAGGCTAGGTGCTGTTATCAAATAGCTATGCAAGATTAAATCAATTGGCCACAAGTAAAACAGATTATATTCTAGAATACAATGTACTGAATTCAATATAATGTAATCAATGTAATGGCCTTCCAGAATGTATGGAGGATAATGACGTTCCATAATGTATGTAATGTCATGATCTTGCATGCAATACAATGTATCAGTCAGAGGGCATGGGAGCAAAAGATGAGTTTGGTTTGCCACCAAACACACATGGGGGAAGACAAACATTATGTGAAGATCACCAACAAACCAAGGAATCCAGGAACGCCCAGGGCTGCTGACAAGGAAGTGGCATGGCTGAGACCCTGAATTGGATTTTTAGCTTCTAGAAGTATGAGAAAATAAGTTTTTGTTCTTTAAAGCTTCCCACTTGGCTTTGTGGTATCCGTGTTACAATAGTCCTACGGAACTAAGACAGTTTGGTATGCCTGGGATAAGGCTCTACTCTAGGAAATGCCTAAATTGTGCAAGTGGTTTTGCAACTGAGTAATGAATAGAAGCTGGAGTTCTGATGAGGGAGCCTCACTCTCCCTGAAGAGATCCTTGGTAGAATTCACCAAGACATGCTGTCTTTGCGGTCCTGGTTCTGGGCACCATGAGCTCCTTCTACTTAGAAGTTACCTCTGCCCTCCCTTGTCAGCATTCTTTTTTTTTCTGCCTGGCTCTCTCTAGGGAGTTGAGGTCTTTCCTGTGACTGAGTTTGGTCTGCCCTTTGTGTCTGGAGCTCCTGGCTGTCTCTGGAATGAGATGAAATGGTAAACGTTGGTGGTAGCTGCATTCAGGGTCTGCAGCCTCCTGACATGAGATCCTGGGAACCCACACTTATCTCACCCACTCACCAGCCACAATGTGATGGGTGCCAACTGGTCCCATCTGATGCAGGACTCTGACAACAGCTCTTGGCTCCAACTAGGAGAATTCCTACCTGCTGGTATGTAAGCAAACATTTATTGTAAAATACACTTAGGTTGACAAGGTTGCCAGGCACAAGCAAATGTCTGGTCACAAGTACGTCAGGACCAGTGCACATCACAGCCCTAGCAGACGTCTTCCATGTGGATGGAGCTTCTCTGTAGGGAGGGCACAGGTGTCTGGATGCCTGGCTCAGAATCTGAGGATTCCCTGAGCTCTTTCATACTGGAGAGTGGGTCTTTAGGGGTCCTGGAGGCAGTTTTCCACCCAGTCAAGTAAGTGGACCCAGTGAGAGGTGCCATTCCTTCCCTCTGCACATTATGAGCAGGAAGAACGTGGCAGCTCATGTGCGTCGGTAGAGTGACCAGATGCTGATGCGCCGGTCCCCAGAGCCCGCGGCCAACAAGCCATCACCAGCGAAGGCCACACAGTGCACAGCTGCTGTGTGGAAGTCCAGCACAGCCAGTGGCTTCATCGTCCTCCAGTGGAATATGCGGACTCGGTGGTCCCAGCCTGCAGTGGCCAGGAGCTTGCGATCTGGCCGGATCGTGACGTCAGCTATGCCGGGATTGGTAAGCTCATGAGTGCTGCATACCTACGAGAGTGAAACCAGAAGGAAGAACAGTTACGTGCCATGAGGATCATTCACTAACGGCCCTGAGGTCTGGCTGCAGGGACAAGGAAGGAGACACAGGCCTGCCATGATGGCTGTAGACTACTGCAGGCATGCCTGCTACCTCCTCAGAGTCACATTACATGGAGCATCTTTGATGCCCAGCAGCACTGCTTCTGTGGTGGGTGAGCTTTCCTGCCATTGGGCTTGCTGGAGAGGGGCCAGTTCTGATGACTCCCCTTCTCCTGTCAGACAGAAGCTCCTGGAGATTCACTTGAAAGGGAATTTCCAGCCCTTGGGAAGGAAAGACTTCGTTTTGTCGGTACCACTGCCATCCTAGAGGCCAGGTGAGGGCAACCATTGCCAGCTGGACAGGGCAGTGAACAGCCAGCACTTCTCACTTCTAGAGGAATCTCACACACACCAGACCACTCCTAGCCCAGAAGCACAGGAGTTTAAGAAGTACAAACCCCATCTTTAAGAAAATTAAGAGACACGTGAGACCCTGAAAGGCACAAGGGGGCTGAAGGGCTGCCAGGAGTGGGAAGCAGGCAGGATGTGGGCGGGATGAAGGTGTGACTGCAGGAGTGGCAGAGCCTCTGCACTCAGCGGCAAAGTACAACTGTCATCCCTCTGCAGGAGCTGCTCTGGGACTCGTCTGGCTTTGAGAAGGGCACGGAGCCCTAGCCTGGCATTCTGGGAGTTGGACTCCTGTGCCGGCTATATGCCCACACACTCAGTCTCGAGCCTCCTGCTTGAGCCTGCTGCAGCAACAGGGGAACTCACTATCATTGCTTTTGTGGAAAGGCAATTCTTGGTTTTGCAGACTGCCTCACGCATGGGAGGGCTACAACTGCCCCCAGACACTTTGCAATCACTGTCTACTTGCCTATAATGGGACCAGACCATCCATCCTCAGTTGAAAAATCACTTACCTCTATAAAGATAATACAAGAAAAAAAGCAGAAAAAAAAAGCAAAAAGAAAATAACCAATGCAGCACTCGTCAGAAGCAAAAGCAAACTGTCACCAACCATGTTTGTCATGAGTTAACACATCAAAAGAAGGCTTAATGAAGCAATGACCTCTATAAAAAAAAAAAAAAAAGAACCCAGAGCAGCAAACCACAGAGAAGACCATTTGAACTGGCAATGTTCAGGAAAGAAAGAAGTAGAAGAAAAAACTCACAGAAATGAAGGTGAACTGGAAATAGATGGTAAGGCATACAGAAGTCGGAAATGATAAAAGTGAGCAAAATGAAGTGGAAACTACAAGTTCAAGTGGACTGAAGAGAAAATGATATACATGAAAAACAGGCAGAGGTGCTACAATATTCAAATATGGTGGTAGTGGTTGTGTTCCATCAAGTCAGTGTTGACCTTGCATAGTACGGGTGGAGAACATCCAGCCCAAATACCATATGTTGTTGGGGTTAAGTGCTGTTGAGTTAGTTCCGACCGACTCATAGCAACCCTGTATAGGGTTTCCAAAGAGCAGCTGTTGAGCTTGAACCGCCAACCTTGCAGTTCAAATGGCTTTGCAGTCTGGTGTGTGCAGCGCCGCACCAGGTCTCCGAGTACCATATAAGGCCTACAAAATCATTTGGTCTGCCCTACCAAGGCAACCATAGTTCCAGCCATATTAGGGTGAGTTAATTAAATGTTTGACAAAATACAGCAAGCAGTTAGCTAACATGTAACCCACTATGCCACCAGAACTCCCATTCACTGATATTGAGAACCAATTTTAATTTCTAGAAATTGAAGTCTTATGACCTAAGTCCAAAGAGGAGAGACTATATAGAATGTTCAACCCTAAAGTACTATCTAGTGAAAATATTAGACTTAATAGATAATATAATTTCTTTTAGTAGCCAGGGAAAAAAGATGAAGTGCATTATGAGGGTGAACTTTCGGGTGTCCTTAAAAATGTTCTACAGTCCTATCTTTGCTGGCAGACAGTGGAGTGATACCTCTAAAGACTGCATAGGGAAGTACGGTCCAAGAATTTTATGCCCAGCCAAACTGTCACTCAAGTATAGACACAATAGACAAACATTTTTGAACATGTAAGAACTCAAAGAATCTTGCTCCCATAGCTATTCTTAGAGAACTAGAAGATTAACCCCTGTCTTCTAAGAGATAACTGGAGAACTGTAGCAAATGGTCTGGCAACAAGCACTGAATTTACTTACCTGCAGGATTAGGTCTAAAACAATATGGGGATTGTGGCTACAGAACCGGTTATGTAACTAACAGAAATAGGGGAGGGTGGCAAGAGAGACATGGGATGTTTTTTAAATTCATGGATCTTCTCATCTTTTGTAAGAGTTAATACTCCTTGAGAGATTATCTAACTCCCTACCATGAGTAATGGCAAAACCAGCATTATTTCCTCTTCCTCTCTCACCTGGCAAGAGGTTTCTTAGGGTTTCCCTTTTATTTCTGCAAAAGGTAATGTAAATGTACTCAGTATTTTTATGAGTGGATTCCAAGGTAAATTCAAATTTGCATTATGTGTAAGAGCCACAGGGATCCTAGGTGTTGCAATTTGTTTGTGATCCACTACCCATCAGCTCTGCAGAACAAAGGCCCGGCAAACTCCTTCCATAAAAATGACAGCCAAGAAAACCCTACTGAGCAGTTCTCCTCTGTAACACGTGGGGCCACCATAAATCAGGCCAACCCAATGGCAACTAACCACAAAATCGGAGTAGACAAAAGAATGATTGGCAAAGACGTACCAGGACAGTGCCAACGGAAGATATTCCCAACCTACCCACTGTCGCTGAGTTGATTCTGACTCATAGCGTCCTAAAGGACAGAGTAGCACCGCTCCATCAGGTTCCTGCGACTATAAATCTCTATGAAAGAAAGTAGGCAGCCTCATCTTTCTCCCAGAAAGCAGCTGGTGGAGTTGAACTGCCAACCTTGCAGATAGCAGTCTAATGCTTAACCCACAGGTGCCACCAGGACTCCTTAAAGATAGACCACAAAAAACAAAACCCACTGCCATCAAGTAGATTCCAACTCACAGTTACCCTGTGGAGGGTTTTCAAGGCTGCAAATTTTGACAGGAGTATAAAACCTCATTTTTCTCCCATGTAAGTGGCTGGTGGGTTTGAGCTATCAAACTTTCAGTTAGTAGTCTACAGCTAACCACCAGTGCCACCAGGGTCTTGAAAGATATACCAGTAGAATGCAAACAAAATTAATGGGTGTCCCAACATTACTAATAGAAAAGATGAAACTCAAAGCCAGCCATAGCATTGTAAGACATACAAGATACTTCACAATGATAACGGGTACAATTCACAAAGAGTTATGACTATCTGTTGAATAAACAGATTTATCACTTGTAAAACAAGAACAACAGGAAAGTAGAATAACTGGTAGAGAGTAATTGGCATCAGGCTAGTCTGGCTGCTATAAACAACCATAAAAATAGACAGACGAGGCACTGAATGGACAACAGGCCACTCTGCCCAGGGACAATTTTCCAATCACAAAGTAGCAAGCCTAACACGTATGTCATGCTGAGGCGGCAGAGATCAGAATATGGGGCAGCTAAAGCAGCTGAAATCTGCAGGGTAAGGCAGCAGAATGCAGGGAGCTGTGAGTGGGGAGCTGAACACTATATGTAGGTTCCCTGAGTCCCTGTTCCAGAACTGGACTGGGCGTGAGTGGGGAGC